CTTGTGCAGCAGGCGGCGAAACCGCTGAGCTAAATCCCCGGCCCAGGAACATATTCTGGATTGCAGGTCCCACCACATTTCCTTTGATCTTTGTCGCCAGTATAGTGGGTTTTTCCTCTCTTCCAGTTTCCTAGCAGCTCCTAGCCACGGACAGGGAAGAATAAAAACGTCTCTGCTAGTGGCCAGCAGGGGGCAGTGTTCAACAGCCAATATCAGGGCTCACAGAAATTGGCTTAAAGGAGAAAATAAAGAAGGAAACCAGAAAAAGGACCTTAGACCAACACCCAACACACCTCTTGGAGCCTTCCCTCACAGGGTCTGCTTTCCTGTTTCTTCATCCTCTCTCTTCAGCTGCAATGTCTCCATCTTCAGTTTAGTTGTTTTCATAGTTCGCCTATTCCCAAGACTGGACCCAGGGGTCTCCCTCTCTGATGCCTCTTGCCGTCTCCCACTCTATCTTGGTTTCCAAGGTGATCAGGACTCCTACTTTTCATTTGAATTCCTGGTCAATGCTCAGGAACCCGCGCGTGGAGGTTGATTACTGGGCTACTCCTCTGAAGATGCACACATCCTCACTAGAGCTCGGCTGGTCTAGTGGAAAGGGGGATGGATGTCAGGCTCTTTCACTGCCCTGGCCTGGTGCCCTGTACAGTCCACAAACTGTACAGCAGTGCAGGTCGACTGCTACTTACTAACCCCAAGGTATCACTTGATCTTGATGAGCACTTTTGGTGCTAAATACCTTCATGGCAATCTCATTTAATCCTCCTAACACCCTGGCAGGTCTTATTGTCCCATTTTACAGATGAGGAAGTTGACACCCAGGGAGGGCATGTGGTTTATTCATTGTGGCATGAATGTGGAACTGGGATGCAGGTCCTCTGGCTACCCCTATGGGCTTTCTCTTGCTCTAGCCTCCTCCTCCCCACTCCCTCTCGGCCTCATGGCCTCTCTGTTTCCTTCCCATCTCCCTGCACTAACCTCCTAAGCCTGCGATCCTCCTGTCAGCTTCCTTCTTCTGCCCACACTCCTCACCTAGTCAGATTCAAGAGCGCAGGAAGGAACCCAAGAAAGGACCGAAAGATAAAGGGAAGGATGCTAGAAGGGGCCTTCCAGAGAGAGGAAGAAGAGAAGGCAAAGAGGCAGGCAGCAGCTGGGGATGGAGAAGGGGGACACTGTGAACGGAGAGAGGGAAGCAGGCCTCATGCCATGCCTAGGCTGGGAAAGGGCACAGACAGGGCCTCCATTGTGTGGGCACAAAGGAGCCATATGCCTGACAGCCTACAACAATGAGAGCGTGTGTGTGTGTGTGTGTGTGTGTGTGTGTGTGTGTGTGTGTGTAGGAAGGGGGAGTGGCTTAGAGACCTCCACTTTCAAACCCCTGAGGCTTTACCTTCTGCCCTATCCCTGGGAGTGAGGCAGAGGGCAGAGGGCAGCAGTCGCAGTAAGACTGGATGCCAGGGCCTGTGGAATCCCCGGATGGAGAGGGCGGGGACAGCGGGAAGGGTCTGTGAACACCGGCCGGATCCTTGGGAAGGGGCTGGAAGAGGAAGAAAGGATGGTGCACACAAATCTTACTCACCTGGGCCCCCAGACTGCCCTCCCCATGCTCCTGGCCCATGAGCTAGGTTTGGGGATGGGAAATGAAGCCCTCAGAGCAGACTTCTTCTCCTGCCTGGCTCCTCTGCCCTTGTCGCCTGTCCCCTTCCCTCCCTCCCTCTCGCTCTCCACCTCCTCCCCAGCCCTGGTCCTACCCACCAGAGAGGCAGGCAGCCGAGGCCAATTGATTATCTGAAGAAATTCGGAGTTAGCAGTAGAACAGCTGCAGCTGCCCCCCCCCCCCCGCTCCCCACCCCCAGGTCCTGAGGGACCCCAGAAGGGAGGGGGCCCTAACCCCTCTGCTCTCCAGTCCAGGAGGGCAGCTGGAGCTCAGAGCACGGAGAGGCACAAAGCGCTTCAGGGCTGGGAGCTGACATCACACTCGGCTATAACCCCAGTGCCTCGCCTCGCCGCAGAGTCACATGACCTGCCTGGACCGGAGTGTACCTGCCTTTAAACAAAGGTGTCGGGGTCCACGATTCCTCCGCTTCTTTCCAGCTCTGCCCTTTGCGGCCTCAGATCCCCAGATCTCAGCTCAGCCCTCCCCCTTTCCAGGCTCTGGGCAAAGCACAGTGCATTTCACTCACACGGGGAAGGGAAGATGTCAAATCTTTTTCTGTGTAGAAGTTCCTCCCCCAGTCTAACTTACACCCCTCTTGCTGCTGACATCACTGTTCGATCATAAAAGATGAAAAAGCCCTAACCAGGCGTGGTAGCACTTGCTTGTAATCCCAGCTACTTGGGAGGCTGAGGCAGGGAGATCAAAAGTTTGAGACCAACTTGGGCAACTTAGCCAGATCCTGTCCCAAAATAAAATTGATAGCACTCAGGAGGCTAAGGCTAGTTCAACTCTAGTTCAAGGCCAGCCATAGTGAAACTCTGCCCGCCCCCCAAAACTGGTTTCTACCAAAATAAAATTCGAGGAGGGCTGGGATATAGTTCGGTGTTTGAGTGCTTATCTAGCATGTATGTGACCCTGGGTTCAATCCTCAGCACCTAAATAAATAAGTAAATAAATGGTGAAAGCCCTTGAGGCACCGAAGGATGTCTCAGCATTTCCCTCCCACTCTGCCTTCTGCCTTCTCCTACAACCTTGAGTTTGGAAAGGATCTGGAAACGTGCTTGGCCCGAGGCAGGAATAAGTTCTATGGAGTCTCCGGGGAGCTGATTCTCCAGCCTGCCACTTGGAGTGCCACTTGCCACTTTCTGAGGCAGGCATTTCCATTGCTGGACAGCTCCAGGGTTGTGAAGTTTTGGGGCGCTTAAAATCTGCTTTCCTAGAACCTCCACCCATGGGTCCTGGTTCTGCCTTCTGGTGCCACGCAGGATGTCTGTTTTTGTTTCTTCTTTCCGTATCTGAAGATGGGTATCCCTTAATATATTCTTAACAACACACATACCCTCTGTTCTTTCAACTCTCTGTTCTTTCAACTTTCAACCTCTGTTCTTTCTATGAAGTGGTGGTCGGTCTTCAGCCTTTTTGTCTTCTTGACCACACAAATTCTGAATCCTCACTAGTTTATCCATGTGCCTGTTAAAATATGGGGTCCACCTGTTGGGCTGGGTCACTCTGGAGGCAGAGAGTTGGCTGCATACAGCATAAAGAACCTGGGTTGGAGCCTTCCTTTTTCTGGAATTAATTTCCTCATGTAGAAATTGATTTTAGGATCTCTTCCAGGATCCTTTGATGTCTGTTCAGCACTCTTTCTTTACCCCTGTTCCCATTCCTCTCTTAGTCCCAGGTCCTCTGTCACGTTCTGCCCAGTAGTCTAAGGCTGGGAAACACAACATACACCAAGAACTGAGACTTCTAGGGATTCTGAGCTGCCCTAGGGAGAAGAGAGAAGGAAGCAATGTCTCACTGGCATACCATGGCTGTTCCCAGCTGCAAGGACCCACACATGTTTAACTTGAGTTCTACTGGAACACTCAGCTTCTTCTCAGGCCCATAGGAGGTAGGAGCTGCAGCACAACATCAGGGAAGCCAGAAAGCGTCACTCAGTGAGTGCCAAGATGGGGGTGTATGGGACTCTAAGAGAGTAGAGCTGGGACTTTCATGTTCCACCTTCCCTTGACTTCTTTCCCCCTTAGGCCCCTTCTCTCTGTCTTTGTTTATCCACCACACTGAACTTTCATGACCTGTCCTCCCCCAACAAAACCCTTCAAAGCCTAGGGCCCTCAGTGCCCACCCTACCATAACCTGCAGGCCAGGTTTCCAACCCAGGCAACTGAGCCACAGCCATATTTGGTGCTAGAACGAGGTCACTTTAATTTTTCTTTTTGTATGAAATTGAAAATGCAACAGGAAGGAATCACACACAGGGCACAGACCCTATGGCCTGCTCTTGGACATATTAGGAAGAAGTGAGAGTCGTGGGGACGGTTAGAAAGAGAACAAAGAGAGAGAGAGACAGGACCGGGTGAGATTGTCAGGGGATGGAGGGAGTTGAGAGAGGAAATCCAAGTGCCCTGGAGCTGGGAGCGGGGTGGCTATTCCAGAGGACTAGGAGGTCAGGACAGGAAGGGATACAGGTGTGAGAAGAGGAAAGCCTGACACACACCAGGGTTGGAAAAGGAGCAAGAAAAGGAAAGAAGTAACCAGGGAGGGAGCAAGAGAGGCCCCACTGGAGCTGCTGGGAGACCTCTTCACTCTACCCCCAAAGTGCACAACTCGGCAATAAATAGCAATATTTATAAATAAATAAGTAAATAAATAGATAAATAAATAAATACGTAAATAAATATCCTTGTGGAGCTGGGAGTTTGGTGCGAGGGTGGAGGGATCACAGAAATGCAGTAAGTTCTCCTCCTCTAGTAGGCTCCAAGGCCCTCCCTTCTACTGCTGCCCCCCGCAGCGAGCCCTGGGCTCAGCGACCAGGTCGGGTCCGGGTCGGGTGTCTCTTCACTTGGGGTGGCAGCTTGAGGATGGAAAAATAAATGTAATAAACAGACTCTCGGGCCAGGAGAACTTAGCATTCCAAGAGCAATCACAGGGCAGCCTCCCTGCACCAGAGCAGGGTACCCGTGTGGGGCTGGCACACTTTCAGGGTGGGCTTGGGGTGGAGGAGGCAGGTGTGAAACGGCGACCGACCCATGGCCTGGGCCTTCTGCATCACCCGCTGGGCTGTGTGGGGACTCCATCCCTATCCCAGAAGGAAGTGCTCCTTTCTCTAACATCACACAGAGGAAAGAACAGTGTAGTTGGGCTGGGAGGGGTCAGGGAGTCTCAGGAACCAGATGGACAAAAGAAAAGCAAAAAGTTTTGCTGCAATTCGCAGTTGCTGAGATTTCCCTGGCAAGTATCCCCTCACGCATCCCCCGCCTCCCCAGAGCCCACCCTCCACCAAGCCCCTCCGACCCCAGCCTGACCTCCTTCCCGTTCTGCTGCCCCGACCCCCCCCCCCCATGGGAGAGAGAAGGGACAAGACGGGACAGGGTCGGGGGCTGGGGTCTCTGAAAACGTGGACACGGGGGTAGAAGAGGCGGCAGCTCAAGAAAGCTAAGCATAGCGACCGCAGCAAGGGCGGCGGAGACGCCTGGCTTCAGACGTCCAGCACGTGGTTCAGGTAGGAAATGTAGCAGATGGCCAGGCGCAGGATCTCGATCTTGGAGAGCTTCTTGTCTGGGGGCAGCGTGGGCAGCAGTTTGCGCAGCTCGGCGAAGGCCAGGTTGAAGGCCTCCACGCGGATGCGCTCGCGCGTGGCGTGCGCCGTGCGGTACTTGGCGGTGGCCCTGCGCCGCCGCCGCCGCTCCTCTCGGCTCAGATGCTGTAGGTCTTTCCGGCCCGGCTCCCCCGGCTCCGAGCCCCGGGCCAGGCCGCCTCCGGGACCCCCGGGCACGGCGCCGTCGGGGCCCGCCCCGCCCCCACAGTCGCTGAAGCCCGACTCGGTCTCGGAGTGGGTGGGAGGCAGGTCCAGCTCCATGGTGTCGGAGTTGAGCATCATGTTGGAAGCGCCTTGCCCGGCGAGACCGGGATGCCCTCCCCACCCCTCCCTCTCGGAGCGGGACCGGCTGTGGGAGGGGCAGGAGGGGCCTGGGGGTGGGGTAGGGTCTGCCACTGAGCTCTGGAAATCCGGGCCACTTCAGGGTTCCATGGTCAGGGATCCAGTCTGGCGCCTGAAAAAGAGCAGGGTGGGGGTGTTGGCAGAGGCGGGAAGGAAGGGAAAGGCAGCTCAGAGTTAGAGCGGTGAGGGTGGAGGTAGTTGGGAGGGGCAGGCAACTGTGAGTGTGGCGGAAGAAGCGGAACCATGCGGGCAGAAAAGGGCAGGGCGGAAGAAACAGCAGGAAAGGAGTAAGAAAAGAAGTAGTAAGAAGGAAAGAGAGGGCCGGGATTTAGCTCAGTGGCACCGCGCCTGCCTTGCAAGAGCGAGGTCCTGAGTTCGATCCCCAGTACCAAAAAGCAAACAAACAACAACAACAAACAGAGGGAGAGAATCCAGAAAGTGACAGGAAGCTAGGGGTGGTGGCTCACGCCTGTGATCAAAGCCTCTGAGAGGCTGAGGCAGGAGGATCGCAAGTTCGAGCCCAACCTGGGCAACTTAGTGAGTCCCTGTCTCAAAATAAAAAATTACGGGAGGCGGGTAGGGTGTGGCTCCCTTGGAAGGCCCTGGATTCAATCCCTAGTATATAAGTAAATAAAGTAACAAAAAAGGAGAAGGAGAGATGATGGGTAGGATACACCAGGCAGCCTAAAACTGAACAAGAGGACTGAAGACCTAAAACTGTAAAACTACTAGAAGAAAACATAGAGGGAAATCTTCACGACAGTAGACATGATAATGATTTCTTGGACATGATACCCAAAGGCAGACAACAACAACAACAACAAAAACACAAATGGGACTATATCACACTTAACATTAAAGAATACAATAAAAGTGAGCAAACATAAATTATGAAATGAAAGGAAAGATATATCTGCTGAAAATCATATATCTGCTGAGAGATTATTTAGGACATAAGAAGAAGTGCTACAACTCCAAAAATATCAAATAGCCCATTTGAAAAATGGAGATTTAGTTCAGCGGCACCACACCTGCCTGGCAAGTGCAAGGTCAAGGTCCTGAGTTCGCTCTCTGGTAGCAAAAAAAAAAAAGGGCAATGGGCTTGAATAGACATTTCTCCAAAGATGATACACAAATGGTCAACTAGCATATGAAAAGGTGCTGAACATCACTAATCGCTAGAAAAATCAAAACCACAGTGAGATATCACCTCATCTGCATTAAGGATGGCTGTGATAAAACAACAAACAAAATCTATGTTGCCAAGGGCACAAAAAAACGGAAAAACTTCTGCCCTGTTGTAAAATGGTGCAACTGCTATGGAAAACAGTGTGGATATTCCTCACAAAATTAAAAATGGAACTCCCATATGATCCAGCACTCCCATCTATGGGTATATATCAAAATAAAATAGGGCTTCAAAGAGATATTTGCATACTCATGTTCCTTGCAGCACTATTCACAATCACTAGGTAGAAATAACTCAAATGTTCAGCAGTGGATGAATGGATAAACAATACATGGGCTATACATGAAATAGACATAAGTCAGCTTTAAAAAGGAAGGGCTTCCTGTCACATGCTACGACAAAGATGAGTTCTGAGGACATTATACTAAGTGAAGTAAGCCAGTGACTCCACTTATACGAGGTGTCTAAAGTAATCTAATTCATGGAAACAGAAATTAGAATGGTGGTTGCCAGGGCTGAAGGAAGGTGGGGGAGGGAAATTGTTCTTTAATAAGTATAGAGTTTCACATTTGCAAGATGAAAAAGTTCTGGAGGTCTGTTCTGCAATAATGTGACCATGCCTTACACAACTGAGCTGTACACTTATAAATGATTAAGATGGCATATTTTATTGTATGTGGGTGGTTTTTTTTACCATGGTAATACATAAATGGGGGTGGGGGGATCTCAGCAGGACTGGAGTCATAGCTCAGCAATGATACTTTCCCAGTTGGTGGGGGAGAATTGCAAGCTTTGGCCCTGCAATCCTGTCCCTGTCAGGGGCCCTCTATGCCCTCACTTCTGGGGGTGGGGTGGGTAAACACACAGATTGGCCATTGTAGAGTAGACAGGGACATATGGAGCTCAGCACAGCTGCTCTAGCTCAGTCCCTCCCAATCCCCAAACTTCCCCAACAGCCTCTGTAGACACCAGGTCCTAGCACCCTGACCAGTAGAACCAGAGGAAGCAAGATATCTCTTCTCACCACAGTCTACCCACCCAGGACCACCCCTTCCTCCAGATCCATCCTCAGGACCTTTGCCTTTGCCATTCCCCCAGCCTTTTGGAGACCCCAAAAAGACTGAAGAAAGAAAACATAATCAGCCTTCCACCCCCACACTCTCCCATAGCCCAAGGTGGTTCAGATATGGCCAGCAAGGGCAAGCATAGACAACTTCTTAGCAATATCTTTATGGGGCGTGACCAGGGTTTGTTTGTCCCAGGACCAGAGCAGGTCAAGCAAAGCAGCAGGGACACAGCCTAGGAGAGGCTGGGGCAAGGGCTTTTCCTGGGAGGAGTGGGGACAGGAGCAGTGGGCCACTCACTATGACCCCCAGGTTCACTTTATAGTCAGACACAGGGGCACAGAGCTCCTTCACAGTCACCATCTCTCCTTGCTCCCCAGCTCTGGCTCTCCTGCCTGACAACACTCTCACAGGGGCCAGGACCCACCAAGCCCTGCCCTACTCCACCACACAGAAGACAGGTCCAAGTCAAGTCAAGACAAATAGTTACTAAGCTCTAGGGAGATCCAAAGTCATCAACATCTGACGGTGGGGAAGACAGGTACACACACAACCAAGACACAAAACAGATGGTGGCTAACACTGAGGTTAAGAAACATACTCCCTATTCTGGATCCAAAGGAACGAGGAGGGATGTCAGTAGTGCTCGAGCATCTCCCAGTACACTCCCCACTCCCATGCCCAGGCTGGAACCAGGAGTTCAGCTGTGAGTTTCCTAGCACCTCCACCACAGCCCGGTTCTCTCTCTCTCTCTCAGCAGCTTCTATTTCCCCATCAAGCCCTCACCCCCAAATCCACTTCTGGTCTGAAAGTTCCAGGCTCCAAAGATCAGTGAAGCAGTAATTCCAAACATCCAGGATAGGATTTCCCACCATACTTCTGCCTACTACAGCCCGATCAATAGATGGAAGAGAGATAGGCACAAAGAGAGTCAAAGAGGAGTAAGGAAGCGGGAGAGGCAGAGATGGGAAGTAGAGGGATGCTTTGAGAGGGGCTCTATCGAAGGAAAGGGAGGGACACAGCGACCTGTCCCCAGCCCATGGTTCCCCCCTTTACCTAGGAGGATCCTGTCAAGGGATCCAAGCCGGTAGGGCAGGACAGGGGGCAGCGTTGAGAGCCCGGTCTCCTCTGGCTGCTCAGGGCTCATCCGTCTGCAAAGTTAGTGATCAGCTTCCTAGAGCTCTCGGGGGCAGCTGGGCGTGGTTGTCCAGGTTCCAGGGCAGATGAGAGGGGTACACATGGTGAAGACGGAGGGCCCAGGTAGAAGGAGTGGGCTTGGCCAGGTATGGGGGCCACCCACACTCACAGACACAAACACACCTGAGCTGGCCCAGCCCTATGACTATATATATATATGGAAAGACACACACACACCCCCAGCTCTCCATTGGTTGGCCCACCCACTCCCCTCATCAATATTAAACAGCCAGGCCAGGCAGCCATTGGCAGAGGGACCTGGGAACCCCCCCGGGAGCTGGGGGCGGGGGCTGGTCCTGGGGGGGGCAGGGAGTGGGGGAGCAGGGACATCTGTTCTCCATGCATATTTCATAAGCAAGAAATGGAGAGCTGGGGAAGGGGTGGGGCTGGGGCGAGAGCCAGGGCAGGACCATAGGCGAACCCCCTCAGCCTCCCACACCAGAGGCGGCAGGGCAGAGGCTCCCAGCAAGGTCCGTTTAAGTGCCATAGTCCCATTCAGAGTCCCTGTGTGACTTTGACACAGCCTCTTCCTCAGCTCCCTTTTTCCCTGGCATGAAAGCTTCCCAAGGTACTAACAGGGAAACTGAGAAAAGAGCAAGTAGACAGCATTCAAAGGCAAAAGAGGACCCGAGAGTCCTCACCCTGACTGAGTTCTCATCCTGTAAAGCAGGTGCCCACGGCTTGCCAGGTGCCTCTGGCTGCTGTTCAGGCTCCCAGCCTCATCATCCTGAGACTCAGTCACCCCCACACCCCCCTCTCCAGCTCCATCCCCTCACCTACCCTATCACAGGCCAGGAACAGGATCAGATTCTGGGCACAGACCCCTATAAGGAGTTTTTCCAGGCTGAGCAGCCCAACCTAAACCATTCAGAATTAGGGCTCATTGGAAGAAAGAGGTAAGGGCTAAAAGGACACAAGGGAGATGTGCCCAGGGGGGATTGGCAGGGCCCTGGAGAGGAGGACAGGGCAGCCCCAAAAGGCTTTGAGTGTATAGAGTATCAAATAAACAGGAAAAGGAGATACAAAATTCTGTACAAATGAGCACTGAGTGTGTTCACACCAATAGCCCAGCATGCATGTGCGTGACTGCACCAGAGTGTGCAGGTGTGTTGCAGGGCAGCAGGATTGGGGAGGGGGCACAGAGGCTGGGCTTTCCATATGGAAAGGCCCCTTCCAGCTATTGAAGGTCTTCACTGAACCTTCGTGAGTATCCAAAATGAGCCATGACTGGAGAGGACCCCAGAGGACGGGTGATACAGTGAAGAAGGCTATTGGCTGTGTGACCTTGGACAAATACAACAGCCTCTTGAGCCTCAATGTCTTTTTCTGTAAATGGGCTTCTTAGGTTGCCATGGAGGTCAGGTGTGCTAATGCCTGTAATGGGCTTAGACCTTAGTAGGAGCATAGCCCACCTTCAGGCTGTGGGAGAGATGTGCCACTTCCCTGTGGCTGATCAACCTTTTCTGAGCTTCCTCCAGGGTGAGGCATTCCCTATGGGGAGTTCCATAATTCCTCCCCAAGCTCCCACTCCTCCCCACCCCCAGATCTGGGAGGTGCCAACTCCCACCTGGGCAGGCCCAGACAGGTGCCCAGGCGCCAGCAGATGGGCTAAGCTGGAGGGGAAAGGAGGCTTGAGGAGGGGGGCTGGGGGGCAGGGGATCAGGTGGCATCTCAGTTCTTGCATCATCATTGCCATGGTGCTGATTAAAAACCAATCTCCATCTAATGAGCCCCCAGCAACAACAATTCTACCTCCCCCACCCTCCTGCCCTCCAGCCCATCCAGAAATTGGGAGAACGAGAGACTCAGGAGAGAGGGCCATGGGGGAGATGAGAGCTGCAGAAAGAACGGGAGTTGGAGAGGGGAAGCAGGAGGAAATAAGGAGGACACGGGGAGCCAGAGATCCAAGGAGAGATTTTAAAAGGTGCAAAACCAAAGTCAGTGGGGCACAGAGGTGGAGGGGCCGCAGACATGGGAAGCCGCAGCCAGAGGGAGATGGAGACATAAGAGAGACACATGAAAAGGGAGGATGGGGAGGAGCACTCAGTGATACAGGGCATGGAGGATGATAGAGACTGAATAGAGATCTAAAATGAGGAGGAAAGCATTAGGAGACACGGGGTGGGGTGAAGGCAGACATGGAGGACATATGGCTCTTTGGTGATGGAGAGATGCTGACCCTGGGAGAATCTGAGATTCTGAGAAGAATCTGAGGCAGAATCTGAGGGAGGCCCCAAGACAGAAAGGAGACACAGATCCATGAGAGAAGCAGAGGGAAGACAGTTGTGAGGAAACAAAAACTGTGGAAGACTAAGAGACAAGGTGGGGAGACACAATAAACAGAAGGACGAAGATGAGGGACTGTTGCTGAAATGGGGGGCCCAGGTCCTGAAGGGTAAGATGCAGAAGACAACATATGCAGAACCTAGAGAGACCCTTGAAGCAGAAAGGAACCACGAGGGCCGACATGGGTGAAGAGGGGAAGAAGTCAAAACTCCTCATGCCAGCCTTCCTCGTTGTAGACTTATGCTGAGACACTTCAGGTCTGCAACCTCCATGAAGCATGGAGCCTGAGCTCTACCCAGTGCCAGCCTAGGTTTGATGGTAGACAAGAGGGAGCAAGTGCTCTGGGGACCACATCTTTCTCCCCTGCATCTGTCAGCCCAGCATCCTGGACTCTGGGGTCCCCAGCTCTACACTGCCCACAGGGATTCGGTTTTTGCCCCTTAGGGGAGTAGTTGAAATGAATATACTCATGTGAAAAAGAGGAGCTAAAATCATGGTATAGTGGAAAAGACTATTACATCTATGAACCTGGAGTCAGTTAGACCTGGATCCAGGGCCTGGGGATGTGGGACAAGTCCCTTAACTGGCTTTTGCTTTGCTATCTGTGAAATGGAGATAACGCGGGCTTCTCCAGGGCCTGTTGTAATATCCTGGTGAAATCATGGGTGGGACAGTGCTGGGAAAAGTGCAAAGCGCTCATAGTGAGCCCCCCACACTTGTGCAGTGATGTAAAGGTGGCGATAAGTTTCATCCACACGTTGTGTCTGAGGCATTGTGATCTAGGAAAGCTGGGGAGAACTCTGAGGTCAGCTAAGGTTGCCTGCAGACTCAGACCCCAAGAAGAAAGAGCCCCGTGGAGGTCTTCGCTATGAGAAGGGCAGGACGAACAGGGCTTGGGGGTGGGGAGGATGGGCCTATCTTTACGATTTACTGTTGTTATTTAACGTTTTATAGGCATTCACTTTTTCAGATTGTAATTCACAAATCTCTATCCCCAGACGGCCAAGGAGGTAGATTGTTGGGGGAGGGAGTTGGATGGGTAGGGAAGACTCGGGGGCTGGGCCCAGTCCTTGAGGGTGGGGGAGGGCCTGGAGGAGCTGGGAAGCAGTGGGTTTGGCAGGAGAGGGGGTGACATATGTGGGGAGCCCTGGGGACCCAACCAGGCAAGCGACTGGCAGGGAGAGCAGACGGCGTTAACCCTCGCTGTGCCACACTGCCTGACCCTTCCCCAGGAGTGGCCCAGTGGCTGGGGTGCTATTTTGTCAGACTGGCCATGTTGGGGTCACAGAAGCAAGGCAAGCAGGAGAAGCTTGGGCAGGAGATGTTGTTTCTGGAAAATGGCAGCACGTCTTGGAGTATCTTCATCTCTGGGATTCTCTCCTGGTCTGTTTGCTCGTGGTCTCTGTCAGTTTCTCTCCGTGCTCCTAGAAGGTGACGGCGGGTCTCCACTCTGGCTCACTAAACAATCTGTCACTCTCTTCAAAGCCAGCCTGGGTGAGAGGGAGCCCCCCTTCCCTGCGCCCTGGCCCCCTAGGCTTTCCGCCTTTGTCTCCTAAGGCCTCCACACTCTCGCTCTCCTTCCTCCACACTCACCTCTCCTTAGGCAGAGCCATCTCCAGTCTCATTAGGGCCTCCAACCACTGTAGCGCCCCCACCCCCAGCCTCTTCTCCTCCCTCCCCCATCCATCTGTCTTCCCCGAAGCTCTCCTCTTTGTGTCCACCCATCTGTCACACCAGTGCTGGGCCTACTCCCCTCCTGGCCACGCCCGCCTGGCCTTCCTCCCCTCGGGCTCCCTTTCCTCTTCTTCCCCTCTCCCCGCTCCTTTTCCTCCTTCAGCCGACTAGCAATGCTTTTTTCTGTTTCCTTCACTAGCTAACTTTTTCTGGATGCCCTCTCTCATCTCAATGTTTTCTCCCTTCCTCCTGGTTTCTCTAACCCCCTTTCAGTTGTGAGTTGGGGACGAGAGAGTCAGGACTCCAGGGTCCCAGCTCCAGCCCCTGAGCAGCCACCCAGCTGAGCCAGAGGCTGGTAACATTTGCCCATGGTTGCATCACCTCAGACTAATGGCTTCTCCCAGGCCTCCGGAGATGACCTCCACTCCTGCTCCACGCTTCCCCTGCCTGGGCCCAAGGGTTACCACTGCTCTTCTCTACAGCAGCGGTGTGGAGCTCCTGTGCCTTCTGCACTTGAATTCAGGAAGAAATAATCCAACCCCAAGCCCCCAGGACCCCGACCTTCCAAGGGCCTCTGTTCCTCATCAATTCTGCCCACTCCGGCTGAGCTTTTTTTCCTCTCTTTTTTCTCTCTTCCTTCCTTCCTTTTTTCTTTCCCTTCCTTTCCTTCATTTTTCTTTCTCTCCCTTCATTTCTTTTTTTCTTCCTTTTTTTGTGAGGATGGGCTGTGGAGTAACAGGGTCTCTTTTATATTATATTATGTCATAATATTTCAAACTCCTGCTATCCCTGGGTTAGGAGACAATAGTGCCCCTCAGGCGTCCCACCCTAGAACTGACCCTCTGTTATCCCAGAGTTCATGAATTGATCATCTTTTCAAATGGTCCCTACCCTGAGGAGTTTAGGGTGAAAGGCTTGCGGTGGGGGGGGGGGTACAGCTTCAGCTGTCCCTTCCCAGAACAAGACAGACATAGCCAGGGTGGACCTCAGAGAGCAGCTCCTTGTTCAAATATCGTTGTTGGTTTTTTTTTTTTTTGGTACCGGGGATTGAATTCAGGTCCTTGCGCTTGTGCAGCAGGCGGCAAAACCACTGAGCTAAATCCCTGGCCCTCAAATATCTTTTATAGATGAGAACACAGGATGCCCCTCCCAAAGTCATACAGCATTAGTAGCAGACCAGAAAATCTGGTCCTGCATTCTTCCCACATCATGAGGATCCTCCTCTCTGGCCCAATGCCAAA